CAGAATATATAAGTGTGTATTATACTAACAAAACCTAGGAAAAAACCCAACACTCTTATTTCCACACCTAAAAAGTTAATCAAGTGTTTGTTGATGAAATTGTTTGAAATAAGTAGTCTCAAAATTTCTATTTTTCTGTTTCTCAGTCCCTCCCCCTCCCGCTATTCCTAAAAATTCAATAACAATCGCTTGGTCTCATTTCTTTCTTTTTATCCCATCTTCTTTCGTGGCTTTAACAAACACTTTTATGTCAATACCTCAAATCTTTCTACACCTCCCTGAACGAGCTCGTGAGGGACAGGCTCAAGTACCCACCTGCCTGTTGGACAGGCTTCAATCCCAGTGAGGTTAAACCCGAATTTACACACACACCTACTTTGAAAATTTGCTATTCTAGCTTTTGAGTTTCAGTTGGATACCACCTTGTTACTCACACTGGAGTCTTAACAAGCCTTTTAGATTCATCTTTATCTCTTAACCTTAACCAACCAATCACTAAGTTCTGCCAATTTTAGCACTTGACTTTCTCAAACCTATCCTCTCTGTACCATCCCTACTACCACCACCACTTCAGTTCATGATTCATAATCTCTCTGATAAGTATATTTTTTTGCCTTGTTTCTCAAGTCTACATTCCACCCTGCCACAGGGCAAATGTGACCATGCTTTTCCTGTTTCAAACCCTTCAATGGCTCCTGACACACAGAAGTATTCAAGCATGCCTGGAATGGCACACATCACTGGACTCCAACCCAGCCCTCACAGCCTCTTCTCACACCACTCACCACTTCACATTTTACCACATCATCAAGAGCTAAGCAGTTTGAGATATAACATAAAAATTGCTCCAAGTTTTCACTCAAAACATTTTCCTTGAGTTCTGTGCCTTTTGTTATGCTGTTTGCTCTACCTAAAACACCTTTCTTATTTTGCCTACTTAAAATCCAAAACTCTAAGCTCATTTTAGATCATTTCTCCAGGAGGATTCGCTGAACTCGCCGGCTAGGCCACACCTGAAAAGTGTTTACTTACTCCTTCTGTTAAGCCAGTTCTGACTCATAGCGAGCCTGTGCACAACAGAACAAACGTGGCCCTTTCCTACGCCATCCTCACAGTTTCTGCCGTTTCTGCCTTTCTGTCCATCCATCTCCTTGCGGATCTTCTTTC